CGGCGTCCTGCGGGGGGGGGGAGGGGAGGAGATAAGAGGACGGTGAGCGGCGAGGAAACACCCCCAACAACCCCCCCCAATGACATCAGCTGATCCTTACCCACAATGCCCGGTCCTCATCGAGCTGTTGACATGCTGCCAGGGAGCAGATTGGGGTCTGTCTGGGCCTGCTGCTCCTTCACTACCGGATCTGAGGAGGGAAGAGACGAGAGATGAGTCCTCCAACCATGGCCGCCTTAAAGGGACACGTCTTATATCCTCCAACCTCCCTATACAAAGCATGGCCGCCTTAAAGGGGACACGTCATATCCTCCAACCTCCCCAAAGCATGGCCGCCTTAAAGGGGACACGTCTTATATCCTCCAACGTCCCTACGAAGCATGGCCGCCTTAAAGGGGACACGTCTTATATCCTCCAACGTCCCCATAATTACAACGATCTGCCGGGGAAGCAGCCCCACCTATGCAGTACCTGTATCAGACTTCGATAGGACCCGCCCCCGAGTATCTCTGACCCCCTACAAATATACAGGGAGCTTCTACGCAGCTGTGACCCCCACAGACATCTATAGGACCCGCCCCCGAGTATCTCTGACCCCCTACAAATATACAGGGAGCTTCTACGCAGCTGTGACCCCCACAGACATCTATAGGACCCGCCCCCGAGTATCTCTGACCCCCTACAAATATACAGGGAGCTTCTACGCAGCTGTGACCCCCACAGACATCTATAGGACCCGCCCCCGAGTATCTCTGACCCCCTACAAATATACAGGGAGCTTCTACGCAGCTGTGACCCCCACAGACATCTATAGGACCCGCCCCCGAGTATCTCTGACCCCCTACAAATATACAGGGAGCTTCTACGCAGCTGTGACCCCCACAGACATCTATAGGACCCGCCCCCGAGTATCTCTGGTCTCAAAAGTCTATAAGGAGGTTCTGTACTGGTCTGGCCCCACCTTGCCACAGGCTTCTATAAGACCCACCCCGAGTATCTCTGACCCCCCATACACGGATATAGGGAGCTCCTGTACAGTACTGACCCCCACCCTATAATGTAGCTCACCACAGATTTCAATATGACCCTCCCCCGAGTATCTCTGACACCATACAAATATATAGGGAGCTTCTGTACAGTTCTGACCCCACCTCACTACAGATTTCAATATGACCCTCCCCCGAGTATCTCTGACACCATACAAATATATAGGGAGCTTCTGTACAGTTCTGACCCCACCTCACTACAGATTTCAATATGACCCTCCCCCGAGTATCTCTGACCCCATACAAATATATAGGGAGTTTCTGTACAGTTCTGACCCCACCTCACTACAGATTTCAATATGACCCTCCCCCGAGTATCTCTGACCCCATACAAATATATAGGGAGCTTTTGTACAGTTCTGACCCCACCTCACGACAGACTTCTATAGGACCCGCCCCCGAGTATCTCTGACCCCCATACACTGATATATGGAGTTTCTGTACAGTTCTGACCCCACCTCACGACAGACTTCTATAGGACCCGCCCCCGAGTATCTCTGACCCCCATACACTGATATATGGAGTTTCTGTACAGTTCTGACCCCACCTCATTACAGACATCTATAGGACCCGCCCCCGAGTATCTCTGGTCCCATAAAACTCTATAGGGAGGTTCTTGTACAGGTCTGGCCCCACCTATGAAATACTGCCCCAATGACTTTGATAGGACCCCCCGCCCCCCATATATACAGCATCCCCCTCAGTGGCTCAGAACATGGGGGTGACTCACAGAAATAGGGGTGCTCCATGGCTTCTCTGGCGGTCAGCCTCTGCTGATGGTCGTAGCGCAATAATTTATCCAGAATGTCCAGAGCCTCGGCGCTCACCAGATGGCGGTTCTCACTGTGCAGGAAGTTCTCCCAACGTTTCCGCGAGTGTCTGAGGAGGGGGGGGGAGGGGAAATGGCAGAGTGATGCGGGGAATGGTCACTATTCTGGTGACAGCGCTGGGGGCTCATACTCACTGTCCCAGGATGTCATTAAAGTGAGGATCCAACTCTATGTGATACTTCTTCAGGTACCCGTACAGGTCGTCCGTGCCCAGGACCTTGGCGATGCGGACCAGCTGTGAAGACATGGAGAGAGGTCAGAGCAGAACTGAGGGCCCCATCCTGAACAACGGGGGAGCCAACTGTAAACAAAGGGCCCCATCCTGAACAACGGGGGAGCCAACTGTAAACAAAGGGCCCCATCCTGAACAACGGGGGAGCCAACTGTAAACAAAGGGCCCCATCCTGAACAACGGGGGAGCCAACTGTAAACAAAGGGCCCCATCCTGAACAACGGGGGAGCCAACTGTAAACAAAGGGCCCCATCCTGAACAACGGGGGAGCCAATTGTAAACAAAGGGCCCCATCCTGAACAACGGGGGAGCCAATTGTAAACAAAGGGCCCCATCCTGAACAACGGGGGAGCCAATTGTAAAGAGGACCCCATCCTGAACAACGGAGGAGCCAATTGTAAACAAAGGGCCCCATCCTGAACAACGGGGGAGCCAATTGTAAGGGACCCATCCTGAGTGACAGAGGGAGACTATTATAGACAGAGGGCCCAATCCTGAAGGACAGCAGGAGCCAATCGCAGCCCTCCAATCTGACCTCTGATTCGCCCATAGGCCATGCCTGTCACATACATACAGGTCGGGGTTCTATAGTCTCTCCATCTATTCC